ATTATCCTCTATCAAGTATTGGTTTAGAAAGTAAAAGGGTTTAGCATCTAAGGCAACTTTTGGAGGATAGAAGATGATCAAAGTAAATTTTACCAGAATTCTGACTGTAACAGAATTTGGTATTGAAAACAAAAATGATCATAGTAGACTGTGGATTTTGTCCTTATTGGCATCTGTTTAAAAATATAACATTCAAAATTTAATTCAAATACAGTCTGTTCCTCAGTAAAAGTTGAAAGTAGGAACTCATGTATTTAAATAAAATATAAATAAGGTTAAAATATTTAGTTATATGTTAATATGAGTAGAAACATTTCTATCAGTATTTAAATTTTTTGAGATTATTTAATACTATAATTTTACTTATAATCTGTGTGATTATATAGTCAAATCACTATTAAGATCTGTGTTAGGTACTAGTGAAATATGATTTTTAATTAGTTATTGTAATTACTGCATAAAATTCTTCTCCCGTTTGCAATGTTAAATTCATTGAGTTTAATAAAGTCATGGCTAGCCTCTTCCTTGAGAGTCAAGTCCATTATTTATTATACCAGGTTGAAGTATTTTTCCCCTCAGTGAATTCTTACAGTGTTTACCCTCCTGGCTTTCTATTTGTACTTATCTTCAATCTATAACAGCTGGTAGGGTATCCTGCTACTATCTATTCTTTAACACATCCAACCCACTGCCTGCAGGCTGGTCACATTCCAAGACTTCATCTCTAGTGTTCTTCTGTAGGACTCAGAGATAATGCTTCCAAAACTTCTCAGAAAACCAGATGCAATATCTGTGATAGGTCTAGATTTTTAAAAGGGATATAAAGTGATGTCCTCTAACTTTTAATTTGGTCTGAAGTTTGATGTCATATTAATACTCAGTGACTTCCTGACTTGATTCTGTAATTTTTGGTTAGTCAGTTTGCCATTGCACAGCATGCTGCCCTGTTTTTTTTTAATTGTGGAAGTTTTTTGTTATATATAGGATTTCTCTTGTACAAACTGATACGGGACAATCATCGTTTTGAGGGTTGGCTTTTATTAATGTGTCATTTCCATAATTCATGTCATCTTAAGTATAAAGTATGAAGAGTAGTCATTTTACAAACAACAGACACATCAAAGGGATTTTTTTTTCATGTTGTTTAAGCTTATTTGATTACAAGAAACAGAAAATTGCCAAAGGAAATAGAAAATTGCCATAAGTGTCCACTTACACCTCCTTTTAGCAAAAGGAATTTACTGGAATTTTAGCTGTAGATTAGAATGAGAAAAGAAACAGAAGCTAGCTGTGTTCGGTGCCTTTTGTATTCTTTCACTCTTAGCTGATCAGTCTTTTTATATTCCTCCATCTAAAATCTGGAAAGACCACCTTTGATTGATTTAATAGGAAGTATCAATGCCCTTCATGCCAGGAAACTACTATATGGCCTTCCTACCTATAGATAACCTGCCTTTTGATTGAGTGCCCATCTCTGCTTCAATCCACGGTTGTTCCTACCCGAAGAACATCAGTAATGCTATGGGGGTCACATGAGTGGCAGTTTGAATAGAAGTGAGCCTTGATTTGGCTGCTGTGATAATGTGCCCAGTAATGCGCTCTCAGAGCTTTGTTGTTGTTTTCTCCTCCAACAAACCTAAACACTTCCTTCCCCATTGCCTTCGTGTCCTAGCTTCCCATTCTTTGTCAATCCACTTTATATGGTTTCTGCCTTAACATTCGCCTGCATCTGTGTGGTTGCAGTGTCCCTAAGATTTCATAGCTATCACTAGAATAGGCACACTAGGCCTTCATCATTTAACAAGTTGACTTTTTTTTGGGAAAAAAAAAACTTTATCCTTATTTTGTTTTTTAACATATTGCTTCTTCTGGATTTCTTTATCTCTTTGATCATTTTTTAAATCTCCTTTGTCATCTCACGTCATACGGTTTTGTCCCTACTGAATAATAATGACCTTGTTAGAAAAATGCCTAGTGAGCATTGATTCCTAATTACTCACAAACCATATATTTATATAACACAGTCTAGAATTTTCTTCAAATAGGTCCACAGTGAGGTATCAAAATACCTATTCTCATAAAATTTTAAAACAACAGTTTACATTGTTTATTTCATCTGTTTTATAACTTATGGGACATTCAGTCATTCTTGTTATGCTTCAGACTTATACCTAAAGTAGGATTTGCCATTTTGTCTGTGCTTGGCCCAGGCCGCCATTCTCCATTCCCTGTTACTGCTGTTTCAGTTCAGACTTCATTTCTTGCTGTTTTAGCTTCCAGTATTACTTCCTAGACTTACTCTATCCCCTAGACTGCTACCAGAGTGATTTTCCAAAATACACATAGAAATATTGTATATCTCTGTCTTACTTATTTCTGTTTTCAATTTTCTCTCATACCTTTGAGAATAGACATTATAGGTCTCCTAGAGATTAGAGCTGATAGCTGTTGTTAATTATTAATTGAATTAGTTACTTATTATTTTATTTGGAAATCTCACAAGTGAACTAGGCCATGTTCTTTAAGACCTCATTTTATTAAGGTGATGTCGAGGAAAGAGAAGAAAGAAAAGAAAATGTTGAATCTTTTCCAGATTGCTAGGGCATCAGCTGTTTCTCTAAAGTACACTTAGTTTTTATGCATATGTTCATTTGCTCTGGTTAGGTGAGTTGCTCCTAATATATCAGCATGCATCTATAAAAGTAGAAAGATAATTGCAACTACAAAGGGTAGTTGTGAAAATAGGCTGATACATTTAATATGCCTACTGTCATATGGTATACCTTAAAAGTGATAGCTAGTATAACTAGAGACTGTCATGTGATCATTTAAGAGTACAGACTTCATGGTCATTCAGACTGGAATTTAAATTCTGGATTCCCATTTACCACCTCTGTGGACTTGGACATGGCACCTTGATTTCTCTTGAGATGTAAATGCATATCTCATAAGAATATTATAATGTATTAAAGCATCTAATATAGTCTTAAAGGATATAACAGGGACTCAGTTAGTGAATTCTTTTAGTATGTTATCATAGTAATAATCATTTGTTGAGTTCCCATTATGTTGTAGGTTCTACATAGACATGTTATTGTCTATGATTCTGAGACTTCCTATTTTTATCCCACATCTATTAGAAAACTACTTCATTTCAGTTAGGTAATATGTTTAACTTCTATAGACCAAATCATGTAGGCTAATCATAACACAGAAATATTAACTTGGACCTCACTGAGCTGAAATCTAACCAACAATCAAGGAGGAAGCAAAACCAAATGAAACAAGTAACAACAGTCTGTGAGCAGCCAAAGATGTCACATAGACAAAAATTGCATCTATGTACTTTACTCACGGAAGTAGCCCTCACATCCTCACTTCGCACCCATCTCTGTTTCTGTTGCTTGTTCACTAGTGAATCTCAGACAATTCCAGTTTCCTTATCTATGAAATGAGAGTTAATTTCTAAAAGTCTCTTAATTCCAGAAACTTCTAAATTCTAGTGTATAGTGTCTTAAATTTATTCTCTTTGGGTCCTTTTCTATACTAATCTCTTTAAAAAAAGAAAAGAAAAACATAGTTGTTTCAAAGAATAAGTAAGAATGATTGGTTTTATAGAAATGTGTATATCAGAAAAAGCTTTTCAGAGAAGTTTGACAGTTATGCAGCAGTTGCAGATTAACCCCAAGTTTCAGTGTTTAAAAACTCTAAAGGTTTGTCATTGCTAATGGTATAGTCTAAAGTTGGTCAAGAGCAGCTTTGCTCCCCATAATCATTCAAGGACCCAAGCTGATGAATGATCTAACATCTCAACTCTTATCCCCTATCATTATCACAGTACTAGAAGAAAGCAAAGAGCTGGAATTTTGCACACCAATCTTAAGTGTATCCATATTTTCTGGCCCAGTATCCATACTTTCTGGTCCAGAAATGATAAACAACATCATTTGTCCTTATGGCCTATTAGAGTTAATCAGATGGCTTTGTGGGGCACACACGTGAATAATTTGGTGAGCATAAATGCTTCTGTTGTATCACTCGAGCTGATTCTGAAAAGGTAAGTGAAGAAAGAATAGATGAAATGAAGCAGACTTCATTGACTGAAAGTGAAGTTACTTTTAGAGTAAAAGAGTAGATGTTAAGGAGTTAACTATTCTCTTAAGAGACTGGAAGCTGGAAAAGAGTAAGCCTTGAGGCAGCTGGTTACATGATTTTGTTTCTATGAAATACAGACTAATTAAATTAATTAAATATCTATTATGAAGGTTTTTGGTGGTACTGCAGTTTGAACTCAGGGCTTCATGCTTGTGAGGCAGGCACCCTACCACTTAAGCCATACCTTAAGCCCAGTATTGTGAATTTTATGGAGTTACTTGATAGAAAATGTATCAATGGATAGATTTGCTTTACATTGCTCTGTGATCCATACTTAAGAGTTCCTAAGTGCTTAGAACTTTTTTTTTAAAGCCTGGTATACTCAAAATTGAATCACAATGCCTAGAAAAAATAAAATTTAAAGGATTTATCCTTTAATCTGAACTTTTAAAGTTGTATCAAATGACAATAGAACTTCAGTAAATCAACCTATGAAGTGTAACGTGCATGTAAATTATTAAAAATAATTATTTTTGTAGGTCACAAAAACAGTAATACCTAAAAACCTAATTAACATTAAGGGAGTATGAACTGTGTACAGAAGCAATGCTAATTATTTTATATGTATTATCTTTGTTAAACCTCATAACTCTATGAAATAATTATCCCTTTTACAAACCTTATCAGTTTGTAAGCAGTTAGGTGATACAGCTCTTTTATACTTAGGGTCCTAGCAAAGGTAAGTCACTTGTACATACATCAGTTTTATTTATCATCTATTATTAAATTAAATAGATCTGTTATTAAATTAAAATCTCTTATAAATGGTTTTGATTTATGCAATAAAATAATTTAATTATAGGCAATAAGAATTATGCTGCAATTTTAACTTTTCTTTTTTTTAGGGTTCAGACAGAGGTGCCAAAGGCCAAACATCCTCTTTCAGCAGTTTCGTTTCAACTGTTAGCCAAAAGAAAGAAGCCGCTGAAAATAAAAGTTCACCTACACATCTTGTTTTCCCTAACATCAAGAATGGTAATGATTTATATGTCTTGGCTAAAAGTACATTATAGTATTAAAGTATTTTAAAAGGTTGATTTTAATTATTCAGCATTGTGCTGATGATAGGTCTAGTTAATACAAGAAAAGAAATAAACTAGGTAAATATTTTTAAGAAGAAGCAAAATAAATCGTTATTTTTGGGTGATTGCTACTTCAAGTAAGAATGAAATACAATACTCATGAATAGTAAGTATGATTAGATAACCAGCTATAAAATAAAGATAACAAACATTATATGTATATTACACGTTGTATATAGTTTTATTATACAGTTGTGTTAATCAGTCTTTCCATTGCTGTAACAAAAATACCTGAAACAGCTTCAGGGACAAAGACTTATTTTTGTCTCACAATTTCAGAGGTTTCACTCCATGGCCACTCAACCTTGTGTTTCTGAGCTTGTGGTGAGGCAGAACCTCATGGCGGGTGGTGTGGGGTGGAGAAGAGCTGCTTACCTCACAGCAGCTGAGAAGCCAAGAAAGAGACAGGAAGAGGCCAGGGACTAGATACACCCTTCAAAGTCATACCCCCAGTGACCTGCTTCTTCAAACTAGACCCCACCTCCTCATTGCCACCTTCAGTATGAACTCATCAGTGGATTAATGGATTGATAAAGTTAAGCACCTTCATGATCCATGCACCTCTCAATAGCACCACCAGCTGGGGACCAAGCATTCAATACTTGAACCTCGTAGGGGGGATCATTTCATATTCAAGTCATAACAAGAATATATAAATATGATACCAATGTGTGATATATTTCCTGTATTCAAGCAGTAAACAATTAGAAGACTTAATGGAAAATATATGAAATACTTAGAAATAAATCTAAAAGGAAATACACAAAACCTATGTAGAGAAAATATAAAACTGTCAAGGATCAGATCAGGAGGATTGTCATTTGAGGCCAGCCTGGGCAAATAGTTCCTGAGATCCCCATTTCCAAAACAGACTGAAGGTGTGGCTTAAGGGTTAAGAATGTCTGCTTTGCAAGCATGAAGCCCTGAGTTCAAAACCCAGCCCTCCCCCCAAAAAAAGTAGACTAGAAAGTGGTTTGAATGGGAAAGCTTACAATTTTCATAGAAATGTCAGGTCCACCAAATTTATTCTGTGCATTTAATGAGTCACCCGTTCTTTGAAGGAAAACTTAACAAAATCATTCTGTATTTGATGTGCAAGAATAACGGTCTAAGAGGATATAAAATAAAGAACTGAAGGGAGCCATTCCCTCACAGTGCCATATATTAAAAAGCTATGCTAATGATACCATTGCCACTAGGAAAACCAGGTAGATGACAATAAGTGAGTAAAAAATATTGTATGTTAACAGCATTAAATTATTCAAGAAGTAGAATTAAGCTAACTGGCTAAACTCTAAAAAATAATGAAGTAAGATTTTTAAAGCTATAAAAGTACTAGAAGAATATGCAGGAGATTTTCAAATGTACATGTACTTACCAACCTAGTAATTCCACTTCTGTCAATTTTGTCTAAGGAAATAATGTGGCATATGTGCAAAGATATAAAGAAAGAATATACATTATTTATAATAGTATTTGAAGCAACCTCAGTGGACTGGTTAAATTGTGTTAATCTGTATTGTAAATAGTACTCTTTTAATAAAAAGAATGTGCTAAGTATATAAAGTAATTAGGACAAATGTCCATAGTACATTATAAAATTTAAAAGGCAAGTTATACAATTATTGGTAGAATATGACTCCAGTATTTTTAAATAGGAAAACTCTTTTATACTTTGAGCATAGAAAGGGTGCCTAAAAATCTGTTAATAATTTCCTCATGGAGGATTGTTGTGTATTGTATTAATGTTTCTTTGTATAACTATATTGTTTTATCTCAGGAAACAAATTACTTGCATACTTTTAAGTGTCCTTCACCCTGTAAAAAGACAAACTTATAAAGGTTTGAATACCTCTCACATTCCAACCAACCAAAACAAACCTAGAAGTGTTTAAGGACATAGTTTATGGTGAATTATCTGTGTCTATTAACTACACTTGGGATACACTATTCTTGCACACATTTTGTTTGATACTGCAAATGAATGCTAGACCTATACCGGTTAATATCTATATAGCCTCATTTATGACCTTCTGCCTTTGATAACTTTTTTCTTCCTTTATTTATTTATACCCTCACACATTCCATCAACTACATCTTACCCTAGAGAGGCACCAGTGCCTATGTGTTATAGTCCTCCAACACAGTAAAACAAACCTGAAATTGTGATACCATTATAGAAATAGAGAAATAAAGAAAATTTACCTATTTGATGTGTGAAGAGAGTTAAGAGAAATAACTTCTGTTTTAGATATATTAACTAGAAAATGATAACTTTTATTTATATAATATTTATAATTTAGAAATGCTTTCACATATACCATTTCATTTGAGTCTCAGAACAATCATGTAAAATAGAACAGATATTAGAATCCTCATATTCATTTTATATGCTGCATAACAAATTGCACAACCTAATTGCTTAAAAACAACACCAATTTATTAGTTCATAACTCTTTTGTTCAGAAGTCTGGGTTTTTTTCCCTCAGGGTCCTAGAAGGCTGATATAAAGATATTAGTTGGTCTGGGCTCTGAGCAAGAATTCAAGCTCCTTCAAGTTGTAGGCAGAATTCATTCTTTGTGGTTTTAAGATTAATGTCCTATTGCCTTGCCCAACTGTCAGCCAGGGTTACTCTTGGCTCTGAAGGCTTGACCACAGTTCCTTGCCATGTGCCATCTTACATTTTTGTAATATCAAAGTTTATTACTCTTTCAAGGCTGACAGCAGTATCCCTGTATTGAATCCCCTTTATGATTCCAGTCTCTCTGACTTTGTCTTCTGTAACCAGTGGAAGAAGGACTAGTGTGATTAGGTTTTGCCTACCTGCAGTTTTCCTATTTTAAGATCACATTTATAGATTCCCAGGATTAGGACTCAAGTTATCTTTTGGGAGGGGTCATAAACTCCAACTCACAACACAATGTTAGGAACCTTGAGAAAATTGAAATCTATGCTATAGAGAATAGCAGTGAGTCAAAAAGAAGTTGGAAGTAACCATAACCTTTGTTTGGATTTTTTTGTTCAAATTCCTTAGCCTTTGATTCCCTTTTCTGTATTCTTTTATACAAGCATCTTAATCTCTGAATTTAGCTTGTCAACTCATATGTGCACAAGTCTTTGAGTGGTCATATTGATTTTGAATATAGTCCACGTACTTGAATTCCCATCACTTGTCTGCTTCTTTTTCATCTGTGCCAGTCCTGTGGACTATTCCCCAACCAGAACTTGGAGTATTTGCATATGCCACTCTAGAGGAATAGAGCTTTTAGCAGACTTTTTTTTTTTTTTCTTACCTTAACAAAACTCCTGATGCTGACTTCTCTTAGCTATTTTGTTTGAGTGCCACCTGAATTGGGGTATTTACATATGTTAGGGGCACTACAGAAAGAATTATTTTATTGAATGGGAATTTAGACTAAGTCTTCTACATGCAAGTGTGTTCATAATTCCTTAATCTTTTGAGAAGCTTCTCTTACTTGTCAATAATATTATTTCTTCAAAGACACATCATTCTTTGCAGTTATTTTAACTTTCTTCCTTTTCTGGTAGCAGGACCTATGCTGGGTATTTTCCAACAGCTTGTTTCCTTGTATGATCTTCAGGTGGTATTAGAGAAGCTACAAAACCTAGCATGGGTTTACTAACAGCTGAGGAATCCCTTTCCTCCTGTAGGTCACATGACTAGGTATGCCTGTCAAGTTGGCCGTCCTTTTAAAGATCTGAGAAGTGTAGGAGTTTTACCTACTATAACAGTTGCTAGAGATGATACATCTTCAGAGAAACAATTGAGAAGATAATGTAGGAGTTGGAGATGTGGGGGAGGGGGGTATTGCCACATTCTCTCTTACTGTTTTATATTTTTCTTTCTGAAGTTATGCCCCTTTTCAGACTTACTTAAAACATTTTTTTTAAACAGCACAGAAGACCTTTAAAAGAAAAAGGCAGTTTTTCTTCAAAGCTTTTACAATAGCTTTGCACTCTTGATAATTCAGAAAGAATGGATATGAACTCTGACATTTACCTTGAGGGCAATGTTTCATTCCTAACTTAGCCCTTTTCACTAGTATTCTGGCAGAGGCCTGATGTGACATAATGAACTCGCCCATTTTTGCACACACGGAGAAATTTATCTTTGGCACTCTGAAATAGGAAAAGGAAGAACAAGGTGGTCTTCAGCTCAAATAGTGGTTAGGTGTGGGTCCTGTGATCTTTTCAGGTAAAGTAACACAGGGTTTCACAGTTTCTAAGAGCAACTTGAGGGGCAGACATGGAATAAGCTTTTAAAACAAACACAGCACAGGGATTGCTACCTAGGGATAGCAAAGGACTTGTTTCTTTAAGATTCCTACCCTAGAAATATCTGCAAGGCCTCAGATGACCCCCACCTCTGGGTTTCCTTGGAAAATGAACTAATTCTGGACTAAATCTCCAAGATACTTTCCTAGGTCACAGTGAGTACTTTGGATTTGCCTTTTCTTAACTATTCCTAGAGAGTGGTGTATCTATGAAGAACTTAAAATATTTTACTTCATTTGTTTACTTATCTGTCTCTTTACTAATCTGTATGTTCCTGAAGATTTTATTTTGGAGAAGGAAAGGACTATCTTTTTATATTAAAGTCAAGTTTTTGAATAGGTAACATTTATATGTTTTAAAAATCAAAACTGTAAAAATAAGTATGCCTCAGGTGTCTCACTGTCACACTCCTTTTTGCTATCATCCTTTATTCTTCCTGATATATGCAAATGTAAGCAAATACATACATTTTCATTGCCCTCCTTAAAGAAAAGATAACTACTAGCACCTTGGTTTTTCTCAGTATATTCAAGGTATCTTTTCTGTGTTGTTATACAGAAAGCTTCCTCATTCTTTTTCACAACCATATTCCATTG